TTTAACTACTTGTGCAAAAACATGCTGTCTCCTTTTCTTTTTTTTTTTTTTTACATTTTTTTCCCACATTTAATGATGTCACCTCTGAAAAAAAAAGTGTGAACAATACACCCAGACAAACAAATACTCAAACTAATATGGAGAGCTTCCAGTGCAGAACCCAGCTGTCTGTATGTTAGAATAAATCTTACACATCTGGATCATGTGTCTGATGGTGCAAAGCTGTCAGCTGTCTCAGGTTTCCGTTTACTCACTGTGATCTGTCAGCACAAACCAGAAACAGTCGCTGCTAGCTTTCTACTACAGACACAAACATCTCACCCACCTCCCTCCTCTTTGCTATAGGTCCCATCTTCGTCTCATACTCACCTCTCCTCCTCTTACAGTCACACAGTCCATATGAGATTTACACCACCCACATGGTTTATTTAGCCTCATCCATCCTTTTATCTGCCTTCCCTTCGCTCTCATCTTCATCTCCTTCCCAGCAGAGCAGACCTTTCCAGCCAACCCCACCACCCCCACTTTCCTCTCATCAACCACAGTTCCCTTCTTCGCATGAAGACACTTAGCCTGTTAACAAGCTCCTTATCCAGCCAACCCCACCCCTTTCCACTTTCCTCTGCCTTTGACATACATGCTGAGTCAGTGTGCAGTCTTTAACATGGGGGGTATTGCAAGGCAATGGGGATGTGTGAAATAAATGACTGAAACATGAAATATAAAAGAGAATGAAAATGTGGTCAGATCTGCATGTGTGAAATCCTTTTTAAAGTTATTCAGAGATAAATGAAAGCATTGGAAAATCCATCTCTGAAGAGATTTTCTTTCAAGAAATGTACTGTTTTTCTCATTTTCTTTTAATTATCATACCTTGTGTGCAAAATAAAATACCATGTCAAGTATTTACAGATCAAGTAACTTTATTGTTGCAATTGATTCAATCTGCTGCTGTATTGAAGAAATCAACAACATATAACCCGCAGAGAAAGCAACTGGGTGCACAAATTTAAATGTTTTGTGTGTTTTTCTTTTTTCAATCTAGGTGGCTGAGAAAGTTCTGTTTCTAGAATAGAATAGAATATACAGAAAAGAACAGAGCAGAGCAGAACAGAATAGAATACAGCAGAATAGAACAGAATATAACTGAACAGAATATAATAGAAAACAACAGAGGAGAATAGAATAGAACAGAAAAGAAACGTGCAGAGTAGAGTAGAGCAGAGCAGATTAGAATAGAACATAATAGAATAGAAAAGAGCAGAGCAGAATAGAATAGAACAGAATATAACAGAAAAGAACAGAGCAAAATATAATATATTAGAATATAATATAAAAGAGTAGAGCAGAATAGAATAGAATTGAAAAGAACAGAAAAAAAAGAACAGAGCAAAATAGAATATAATAGAATCATCATTTACTGTTGCATTAAGTAGGGCAAAGGTTTATAACTGAAGAAGAAAAAAGTGCAGTTATCAAAAATAATGTATTGTTGCCCCTGAGTGGAATGAGTTGAGGCTGTGATAGTTGGGAGTTAAAAATAAAGAAATTTAAAAACTGCAATTAAGGATATAAACAACTTTTTGAGTTTGTTAGTTGCAGTGATGGTTATAAAGTCTAGCTTTGCTAGTTGAACCAGGACCAAGAGTATTTTTTTTTGCAATGAGAATGCTTTAAGAATAATTCTGGCACTGTAATTAAAGCTTAATTGGTTTGATCCAGCTTATGCAATTAAAGAGAAGGTAAGTTTGATCGCCAACTGAGAATAACTAGGCAACATAAAGAACCAAAAACACACATAATGCATATGTAAATTATGTGGGAAAGACAAGAGTCCTAGTGCACCCCCTCCCAAAAGTGCTAAACTAAAACAGATGTCTTAAGACGATTAAATGATTCAGTTTCTGCAGCAAACCCTGGAAATAAGCATGCATATGCCATTGAATTAGTTCTTTCATTGAGAAAAAATATAAAAAGTTCACTATTTACAACTAAATCTGACAGCTGGAAGTTGCTGGAAAATGAAAAAGCATTTTTAAAACAAAAACAGAACAGAACTAGCATTGAAAGTATTTTTTAATATGATACGCTTAATAAATCTTATTCATCTAATGCATGTTCAGTCAATGAGCAGTAGTTTGTTAACAGACACTCTGTCCTCTGCCAACTGTGTCCAGAATATATTACAATAAAATGCAGGGCATTAGATTTATTCCATACGTTACTTTCATTTTGTCTTGTCTGGTGATAACTGAAGCTGCAACTGTTTCAAAAGCAAAAGCAGAAACATCTAATCTTTTTTCTATCAACACTGAGTTAACAGTTAACTGTATTTAAATCTCATTAACATATGCATTTTAATTGATTTATTTATCCTTTTATGATAAAAATTCTGTTCTTAGATTTTGTTTTTGTTAATAAGCTTACTGAAAAAACTGCAGACCTACTAACCCCCCCTAAGACTGCATCCCTACATGTTAACTCAAAAAAGCATTTTCTGTTATTGCACCGATTATCAGCATACTGCAAATGCCTCACTTGATCTGGGCTTCTTTTTACAAAAACTATATTAAAAAGAAGAAATTCAGAATAAAATAGTGAAATCAGACAAACATTTTCAAGTGCATAATCATGCCTGCATCCTGTTGGTCCTATCCATAACTAGACAGAGAGGTGTTTTCTCCCTTGACCTTTAGTTAGCCCCTGAAGCCAGCGGTCTATTTATCCTAATGAAGCCAATAAAACTGATTAAAATGTCAGCCAGGCTTCTGTAATAAAGAATGCTAATCATTAGTGTTTCCTGTTAACAACTGCAGAAATTCTAGTTTCCCTGAAAGAAGAACTGAAAGTCAAAAACTAAAACTAGACTATTAAAATGGAAAATTTGTCAGGATTGAACATAAATAATGACATGGTTTGGAAGGTTAATTAGTCCAAGTTTAAAGTCTTGGCTTTTGTCTAGAGATGTTCCTTCAATTTGCTTCATTTTTCTTTATGATAAAATGTATTTTTGAACTTCACCAATACCCCTTGCTGTAAAAACCTATAGAACATGTTGCTGCCGCCCCTGCTGTTTATAACTTGGGAGTCATGCTCAGGACTGCAAGCTTCAAAATGTATAAAATGAGACAAAAAGCCTGCAGATGCATATAAGCTAAAAGCTANCCAAATTATACATACACAATAATAAAAATTTAACTTTATTGATGTCACATTGGAGAAATTTAACTTTGCATTTAACCCATCCCCTAGGTGAGCAGTGGGCTGCCATTGTGGGGTGCCCAGAGAGCAATCGGGGGTTATGGGTCTTGCTCAGAGACCCAGAGTGGCAGTTTGTTGGAGTGGGGCTTGAACTCAAACCCTCTGGATTCCAAGCGAAATGCCCTAATCACTAGGCCGACACTCCCCCTGTACAAGATCTGCATCAGCATTAGCATTAGCAGCCCAAGACTTGGACTAATAATTAAAATTCAGTTCAGTTCAAAAATACTTTCTTGATCACAGAAGGAATTTAGAATTTTAAGTTTCATAGAGGTTTCTTCAGTGAGTTGTTGTAGATGTTAATAGCTGCTGGCAGAAAATGATCTCCTGTAGCTGTCTGTCTCACTTCGGTTCTGAAGAAGGCTCTGACTGAAGACACTATTGATGTATGATGGTCTGATGCCGAGGATGGTAAGGGTTGTCCATAATGCTCTTTTATTTAGATTCATCTCCTGAGGCTATAATGGATTTCCAATAACAAGACCAGCCTTCTGCATGAGCTTGTTGATCTTTTTTAAGTTGTTTGCTGTGATGCTGCTTCCTCAGGAGAGGATAGTGAAGGAGATCAGTGAACAGCAGACTTAGTAAAGATGTGCAGCATTTAGCTGCAAACACTAAAGGACTGAGTCCATTTTAACTACTTGTGCAAAAACATGCTGTCTCCTTTTCTTTTTTTTTTTTTTTACATTTTTTTCCCACATTTAATGATGTCACCTCTGAAAAAAAAAGTGTGAACAATACACCCAGACAAACAAATACTCAAACTAATATGGAGAGCTTCCAGTGCAGAACCCAGCTGTCTGTATGTTAGAATAAATCTTACACATCTGGATCATGTGTCTGATGGTGCAAAGCTGTCAGCTGTCTCAGGTTTCCGTTTACTCACTGTGATCTGTCAGCACAAACCAGAAACAGTCGCTGCTAGCTTTCTACTACAGACACAAACATCTCACCCACCTCCCTCCTCTTTGCTATAGGTCCCATCTTCGTCTCATACTCACCTCTCCTCCTCTTACAGTCACACAGTCCATATGAGATTTACACCACCCACATGGTTTATTTAGCCTCATCCATCCTTTTATCTGCCTTCCCTTCGCTCTCATCTTCATCTCCTTCCCAGCAGAGCAGACCTTTCCAGCCAACCCCACCACCCCCACTTTCCTCTCATCAACCACAGTTCCCTTCTTCGCATGAAGACACTTAGCCTGTTAACAAGCTCCTTATCCAGCCAACCCCACCCCTTTCCACTTTCCTCTGCCTTTGACATACATGCTGAGTCAGTGTGCAGTCTTTAACATGGGGGGTATTGCAAGGCAATGGGGATGTGTGAAATAAATGACTGAAACATGAAATATAAAAGAGAATGAAAATGTGGTCAGATCTGCATGTGTGAAATCCTTTTTAAAGTTATTCAGAGATAAATGAAAGCATTGGAAAATCCATCTCTGAAGAGATTTTCTTTCAAGAAATGTACTGTTTTTCTCATTTTCTTTTAATTATCATACCTTGTGTGCAAAATAAAATACCATGTCAAGTATTTACAGATCAAGTAACTTTATTGTTGCAATTGATTCAATCTGCTGCTGTATTGAAGAAATCAACAACATATAACCCGCAGAGAAAGCAACTGGGTGCACAAATTTAAATGTTTTGTGTGTTTTTCTTTTTTCAATCTAGGTGGCTGAGAAAGTTCTGTTTCTAGAATAGAATAGAATATACAGAAAAGAACAGAGCAGAGCAGAACAGAATAGAATACAGCAGAATAGAACAGAATATAACTGAACAGAATATAATAGAAAACAACAGAGGAGAATAGAATAGAACAGAAAAGAAACGTGCAGAGTAGAGTAGAGCAGAGCAGATTAGAATAGAACATAATAGAATAGAAAAGAGCAGAGCAGAATAGAATAGAACAGAATATAACAGAAAAGAACAGAGCAAAATATAATATATTAGAATATAATATAAAAGAGTAGAGCAGAATAGAATAGAATTGAAAAGAACAGAAAAAAAAGAACAGAGCAAAATAGAATATAATAGAATCATCATTTACTGTTGCATTAAGTAGGGCAAAGGTTTATAACTGAAGAAGAAAAAAGTGCAGTTATCAAAAATAATGTATTGTTGCCCCTGAGTGGAATGAGTTGAGGCTGTGATAGTTGGGAGTTAAAAATAAAG